ACCTTTAAAGCTAGCTACTACTATACCCACAAGTGACCAAATGATGATGAATGTCAGTTGTGCTCAAGCCATTATAGGCAAAAGAACTTAAGCCATTACCCTTTTCCAAATTTGATTTTTCAATGTTAACCTATTTGAAATATGAAACACATTTGGAGTATTATCAATGGATTTCAGGAGCTAATTACACACATACACACTCCTTAAAAGTTTATATCTTTCACATTTTTACAGTTGGTACAACTTTATATATATATATATTATATTTAAGCCAAAACATTCACAAGGAGGCTTAAAAATCCAAAATAAATTGTCCATTGCCAGTCTTTGTCATTTGCATTAAGTCAAATGGAAATATCTTTGGTCATAGCTCACAAAAGCACTGGAGATATTCCATCTATCAGAAATGATCCAAACACAGATGTCAAACTAGGCAGCTGCTATAGAAATTCAAATTATGGGTTAGGAATTGAGTACATAGACCCACAATGTCTCAACTGCTACTGCCTTTTGCTGTCATAAGGCTTGAGACAGTCATTCCAAACTTTAGACATAAAAAGCAGTTGTTAAAACAATACTTGTAGTAGAAATAGACCACCTTAAATTTCTATACTGTACGACTCTCAACCTCCACCCATTTAATGATTAATTCAAAATGATGTTCAATAGAAGTAAGAGCTCTTACCCTGTGGGGAGCATCTTAACTTAAGTCGCTTATCTTAAAGCAGTCATGTTATAAAAATCAGTGAATGTGAGCCGTGTTTCTTTTCCGCCTATTCAGCTGTCTATAATTCCTCATTGTTTTAAATCAGCAAACTCACATTTCCTGAAATATGTGCTTTGTAACCATAAAAATTCAAGGTGCTAACCTTAAAAGAAACTTATTCAAAAACCAAAAATTGATGTGGTACTTTGATTATTCAAATTCGTACCCATCCACCATTTTGTTTAAGCAATAAAATAAGTTACATATAATACAATTAGATGGCAGCACGTCGCAACTGGTGATGTACAGAGGTGGTTAATTTACCTAAGAGGACTGTCCTACCACATTCAACTCCCATATTTATCTATATACTTGATGCACAAAAAAAAATTTATTCCACAAGCAATTGAGAGATGCAAGATTTTATTTTTATTTTGTCAAAAATGAGTTATATAAGGATTAATTTATCTATTCCAGTACCATATAGACTTGAAAGTATTTCCTAGCTATTAAATAAAGTATGCTTTCAACAATATTTCCAGCAAAGTAAGTTATTAAACAAAAACATTCCAGTAATAGAAAAATCTATAAAATACACAAGAATAACATTTTTCTTGCTTTTAGATTCTTTCATAAAACACCAGATGTCATTGCTTAGAAATATTAACTTACATTTAGCTCTTTTCCACGTAATCCGTGGAACTGGATACCCCTTGGCCAAACAGTTTATGTTTACAGGCTCATTTAATACTACATATGTATTAGTTGGTTCAATCATCCAATATGGAGGTACTGCAAATTAAAGAACAGTGACATAGTTACACAGAGATACAGAATGCTATAATTATTCAATAGTGTACTGATCCAGTGAAGCAGTCTTTCAAACAAGACACAAAATTAAAAGATTTTCATAGTTTAGTAATATTCACTAACTAGAACAAATGTCCTTTAGTTGATGGAAATCATTCTAAATCTAATGTGCACATTACCATTAAATAGGTTTTAACCAAATTCTTTGTTCAAGTGTTTATAGTTCACTAACATTAATTTTGATAAGTACTTATGGTAAGGTCGTGGTGACCAACATTAACTGTTATCATGGTTAGAAACCTATATGATCATCTAAGTCTTTAATAGATTCCATTTAAAGTTAACAGATGTACATCGTTTAGGTTACAAACCATGAGAGCAATTAAATTTGTTTACTGTTGCTATAACTGTCCTGAAATTTAAAACTATATGCTTGAGGAAACCATTATAATAACATCTTAAAATCTTTGAATAACCATTATTCATGTTTGAACATGCTTGAAGTTAACATTTTGACTTGCTAACAAAGATCAGCAAAAAAGCCTTCATTTAAATATCTTTGGAATACCATGACAGTATCATTTGAATAAAGCAAGTCATTGTCGATGTCAGCAGAAATAGGATATTTAATAAGCTCTATTGACTTCTAATGTCAGTGAAATTTGTATGAAGTTTCAGTGGAAATCTGAAAATTGCTATAAACATGAAATATCTTTGGAACACCATGACAGTATAATTTAAATAAAGCAAGTCATTTTTCACTGACATTAGAAGTCAATAGAGCTTATTAAATATCCTATTTGTGCTGACATCGACATTTCATGTTTATAGCAATTTTCAGATTTCCACTGAAACTTCATACAACTCTTACCATGGTTTCAATATATAGTTAAAAATCACAGTAAGGCATTATTTTCAGTGCTGAGTAAGTTTAATTTTTACAAGAACGTAACTTATGAGACATAAACATTAAGATAATTTCACTGTAATAATATGTACACAGAAGGTTGATTGTGTTATATTAAACATTTGAACGTGCAAATCAGCAAGTCATGTGACAATATAAAGTTGCACCAGAAATACATTTTCAAATTGTTTGGTATTTCATAAATAGTTAGATTTTGTAAGATGGGGATATCCCTTGGAAAAAACAATGATATATGGATCAAGTAGTAAGCAAAGTCTGGCATCTTTCTGCAGGTGAGAATCAATGAATATGAAGGTCAGTGTTCAAGCAACAGTACCTAACATAGTTAAGAAGGATCTCCATCTGGAAATGAAAGGACTAAATGCTACCTAGAGTTAAAAGTAGATACACTCACTGGTGAGGACTGTCCACTTGTCAAAGATAGATACACTCACTGGTGAGGACTGTCCACTTGTCAAAGGTAGATACACTCACTGGTGAGGACTGTCCACTTGTCAAAGGTAGATACACTCACTGGTGAGGACTGTCCACTTGT